CTTGCTTGTCTTGCCCTTTTGCAAAAAAAGGCGCCCTCTCTCGTCTTCAGGAACCCGTTCACTTTTTCCGTTTGGGAACAAGGAAAAGAACAGAGGCGATAGGGCGAGAGGAAGAATTTGCTGAAGCATGGGGAGGGTCGACGGGCAAGGAGCCAACCCCGCTCACTTGCCCCATCCATTGTGAAAAGAACAGGGCCTCCATTCCCCTCTTGTTCTTCCTTTCTTGCGTTTTTGTCATTTAAGGGGGAACAGGAGAAGAGAAGGGAAAGAAAAGGAGCGAGGAGAGATAAAAAGAACACAATTTTAATGGGAAGAGCCAAGAAAAGAATAGAAGAGAGATGAATAAAGGAGAGGGAGAGACAAAACAAGGCGCAAAGAAGATGGCACTCTTCTTTATCTATCCTCTCTCCCTTATCTCTGCAAGGAATAGAACAGACAGGAAGCAAGGAGACGGAGTGACAAAACTTGTCGCAAAGCTTTATATATCTCCCTTGTCTCTCCCTAATTAGAAAAAACCAATCTTGCTATTCACAGATAGATAGGTGCCCTTCTTCCTCTTCAGGGAATCGCCTTTCCCTTATTTTGCTTTTTGAAGCGAATAAGAAAAACAACAGATAAGAAGAGAGGACAGGGAATGACTAGGTAAAGAGAGGAGCTCTTCAATTTTCCTCCCTATCTCTTATGTTACTTTTCCTTCTGGGGGGATGTCCTTTTTTCTCCCTTGAAGATGCAGAAAACTATCAAAAAGAACACCCGTTCCATCGCCCATTTACTCTTCAATTCCCTTCCTTATCTCCTATGCTCTTTTCCTTATTCATTGCAACAGGAGAAGACAGGAAAAGGGCTTCCATTCCCCTCCTGTTCTTCCTTTCTTGTGTTTTTTGTCATATAAAGGGGAACAGGAGAAGAGAAGGGAAAGAGAAGGAGAGATGAGCGATAAAAAGAACACAATTTTAATGGGAAGAGCCAAGAAAAGAATGGAAGAGAGATGAATAAAGGAGAGGGAGAGACAAAACAAGGAGCAAAGAAGATGGCACTCTTCTTTATCTATCCTCTTTCCCTTATCTCTGCAAGGAATAGAACAGACAGGAAGCAAGGAGACGGAGTGACAAAACTTGTCGCAAAGCTTTATATATCTCCCTTGTCTCTCCCTAATTTTAAAAAGCCAATCTTGCTATTCACAGATAGGTGCCCTTCTTCCTCTTCAGGAAATCGCCTTTCCCTTACTTTGCGTTTTGAAGCGACTAAGAAAAACAACAGATAAGAAGAGAGGACAGGGAATGACTAAATAAAGAGAGGAGCTCTTCAATGTCCCTCCCTTTTTCTTATGTTACTTTTCCTTCTTGGGGGGTCCTTTTTCCTCCCTTGAAGATGCAGAAAACGATCAAAAAGGACACCCGTTCCATCGCCCATATATAGGGAGACAGAGAAATCATGAGCATCAGCTGGGTTTGCTGCACCACTCAAAACTTCTCAAGTGACCTAGGCGCACTCTGCGCCTATCAGAGTACATTACAAGTACATAGGCGCACTCTGCGCCTATCAGAGTACATTACAAGTACAAGTGCAAGTACAAGCCTTCGTTTTTGATGTAGAGGGCACGAAAGGTGGAGGAGGGCTGGGGGGGGTGGGGTAAAAGAATTATATAAAACCACTTATAAGGTTTATACAGTTTATGAAGTGGGCTCTTTTTTTCTCCTTTAACTAATTTTGGGCAACATTTGCCCTTTGGGCCCAATTTGGCCTCAAAAAAACGGCCCCAAAGGGCCCAACAATGGGAAACGTGCGGCTGGATTTGGCCAAATTTTGCCGGACAGTCTGCGGGCAAAATTTGGCCAAATCGAGCTGCTCGTCGTACGCGATGAGAAATGCGCGGCTCGATTTGGCCAAATTTTGCCGGGCAGCCTCCGGGCAAAATTTGGCCAAATCGGGCTGCTCTTCGTAGGCGATGAGAAAGGTGCGGCTCGATTTGGCCAAATTTTGCCGGGCAACTTTCGGACAAAATTTGGCCAAATCAGGCTCTTCGTACGCGATGAGAAAGGCGCGGCTCGATTTGGCCAAATTTTGCCGGGCAGCTTTCGGGCAAAATTTGGCCAAATCGGGCTGCGCTTCGTAGGCGATGAGAAATGCGCGGCTCGATTTGGCCAAATTTTGCCGAGCAGCTTTCGGGCAAAATTTGGCCAAATCGGGCTGCTCTTCGTAGGCGATGAGAAATGCGCGGCTCGATTTGGCCAAATTTTGCCGAGCAGCTTTCGGGCAAAATTTGGCCAAATCGGGCTGCTCTTCGTAGGCGATGAGAAAGGCGCGGCTCGATTTGGCCAAATTTTGCCGGGCAGCCTTCGGGCAAAATTTGGCCAAATCGGGCAGCTCTTCGTATGCGATGAGAAATGCGCGGCTCGATTTGGCCAAGTTTTGCCCGGAGCTTCCCCCCCTCCCAAGAATTTAATAATGATTAATTTAAGTACGACGGGGAGGTTTCGGATTGAAATTATTTAAATTATTTAATTCTTAGGGGGCGGGGAGGGTGGTTCCCCCCCCCTTTTCGGATTTAAACTATTTAAACTATATAAGTTATTTACATTATTTGAACTATTTAAATTGTTTAAATTATGTAGTTTTTTAAATCAAAGCTTTTTATAACTCCCTTGTCTCTCCCTAATTAGAAAAAACCAATCTTGCTATTCACAGATAGGTGCCCTTCTTCCTCTTCAGGAAATCGCCTTTCCCTTATTTTGCGTTTTGAAGCGACTAAGAAAAACAACAGATACGAAGAGAGGACAGGGAATGACTAAGTAAAGAGAGGAGCTCTTCAATGTCCCTCCCTTTTTCTTATGTTACTTTTCCTTCTTGGGGGGTCCTTTTTCTCCATTCAAGATGCAGAAAACGATCAAAAAGGACAACCGTTCCATCGCCCATATATAGGGAGACAGAGAAATCATGAGCATCAGCTGGGTTTGCTGCACCACTCAAAACTTCTCAAGTGACCTAGGCACACTCTGCGCCTATCAGAGTACATTACAAGTACAAGTGCAAGTACAAGCCTTCGTTTTTGAGGTAGAGGGCACGAAAGGTGGAGGAGGGCTGGGGGGGTGGGGTAAAAGAATTATATAAAACTACTTATAAGGTTTATACAGTTTATGAAGTGGGCTCTTTTTTTCTCCTTTGGCTAATTTTGGGCAACATTTGCCCTTTGGGCCCAATTTGGCCCCAAAAAAACGGCCCCAAAGGGCCCAACAATGGGAAACGTGCGGCTGGATTTGGCCAAATTTTGCCGAGCAGCTGCGGGCAAAATTTGGCCAAATCGGGCTGCTCGTCGTACGCGATGAGAAATGCGCGGCTCGATTTGGCCAAATTTTGCCGGGCAGCCTCCGGGCAAAATTTGGCCAAATCGGGCTGCTCTTCGTAGGCGATGAGAAAGGTGCGGCTCTATTTGGCCAAATTTTGCCGGGCAACTTTCGGACAAAATTTGGCCAAATCAGGCTCTTCGTACGCGATGAGAAAGGCGCGGCTCGATTTGGCCAAATTTTGCCGGGCAGCCTTCGGGCAAAATTTGGCCAAATCGGGCAGCTCTTCGTATGCGATGAGAAAGGCGCGGCTCGATTTGGCCAAGTTTTGCCCGGAGCTTCCCCCCCTCCCAAGAATTTAATAAAGATTAATTTAAGTACGACGGGGAGGTTTCGGATTGAAATTATGTAAATTATTTAATTCTTAGGGGGCGGGGAGGGTGGTTCCCCCCCCCCTTTTCGGATTTAAATTATTTAAACTATATAAGCTATTTACATTATTTGAACTATTTAAATTGTTTAAATTATGTAAATTATTTAATCAAAGCTTTACATATCTCCCTTGCCTCTCCCTAATTAGAAATACCAATCTTGCTATTCACAGATAGGTGCCCTTCTCATGCTTTTTTGTGTTAGCACGGCTCTACTGACACATATTCCGCGAAAAATGTGTCATGCTTTTTGTGTTAGCAGAACTCTGGTGACACATATTCCGCGGAAAATGTGTCATGTTTTTTTGTGTTAGCACGGCTCTACTGACACATATTCCGCGGAAAATGTGTCATGTTTTTTTGTGTTAGCACAGCTCTACTGACACATATTCCGCGGAACAAATGTCATGTTTATGGTGCTTAGAGAACTCTGGTGACACATATTCCGCGAAAAATGTGTCATGCTTTTTTTGTGGTAGCACGGCTCTACTGACACATATTCAGCGGAAAAATTGTCATGTTTTTGGTGAAATTTACGAACACTTACCCCCCGATAAGCAAGACTTGGAACCACTCCGCGTTCTCAGCCTTTAAGAGTTTAAGGGGGTTTCAAATTCAGGGATACTTGTATTTGCTCCTTGAAACTTACGAACACTTACCCCCCCGATAAGCAAGACTTGGAACCTGCAGACAACAACAAACAGGTCTGTCGCAAAACTTCGACCATTGATACATACCCCCTGTAGCGGGGTATGTCGCGCATGTGGGCCGCGGCCCCGTTACAAGCAATTAATATTGGCACGCGGCCAATTTTTTTCTTTCTCAACTATCTCAAAGGGCGCACTGTCTAGATCGCAAGCATAATTTCATTGTGTCTTGACGCATCATAGTGTACCAAAGTCTCTGCATCATAAGCATTGTTTTCTTTGAGCTTTAGTACAGTTTTTTGTACTAAGGTCTTTAAGCCGTAAGCACTTTTAACGGGAAAGGGCGAGGAGGATAGCTTGTGATAACTATGACAATTTATCATAATTATGATACCTTATCATAAGTATGATAACTTATGATAACTTATCATAATTATAATAACTTATCATAATTATGAAAAGTTGCTTATCATATTTATCATACTCTGAGATAAAGAACTTGAAGTTATCATAATTATGATAATTTAGATCGGGAAGCTAAAGTTATCATAATTATGATAACTTATGATGGGGAAGTTGAAGTCATCATAATTATGATAACTTCAGGTTGGTAGTTTGGAGTGGAGGGGCAGGAGGGGTTAGGTGCGAGTGGTGTGGGTGTAGTAAATTGTTGCAAGGGGGCTTGTTGGGGGTGATGGGGTCGGGGAGCAGGTTGCAGGTGCGACGCGGTGCGTGGGGTGGCGCTCTGCGAAGTGAGGTGGAAAATTGGGGAGGGGTAGGGGAGGGGAGAGCACAAGCCCTCCAGCCCCTCCCCTCCAGCCTCCAACCCCTCCAGCCCCTGCAGAGCCCTCCAGCCAGCCCCTCCAGCCCGCCCCTCCAGCCAGCCCCTCCAGGCGCCCCTTCAGCCTCCAGGTAGCCACTCCAGTTCTTCCAGTTCCTCCAGCCCCTCTAGCCTCTCCAACCCCTCCAGCCCCTGCAGCCAGCCAGCGCCCCTGCAGCAGCCCCTCCAGCCAGCCCCAGCCCCCTCCAGCCCCCTCCAGTCCCCCTCCAGCCCCTCCAGCTCCAGCCCATCCCTTCTCCAGGCTCCTCCAGCCCCTCCAGCCTCTCCAGCCCCTCCAGCCCCTCCAGCCCTACCTAAATAATTTAGTTTATGGCTTGGCTGAGTTTCCCCACAATTAAATTAATTTAAAATTTAAACGATTTAAACGATTTAAACGATTTAAACGATTTAATTGGGTCCAATTAAATCGTTTAAATCCGACGCCTCAATTTAAACCGTAGGATTTAAACGATTTAATTGGGTCCAATTAAATCGTTTAAATCCGACGCCTCAATTAAATAATTTAATTCGACCGTAGGATTTAAACGATTTAATTGGGCCCAATTAAATCGTTTAAATCGTTTAAATCGTTTAAATCGTTTAAATTAATAATTTAATTGTGGTGGGAGGTGAGTACAGACAGGCACAGAGCCAATTAAATTATTTAAATCCGACGCCTCAATTAAATAATTTAATTAGACCGTAGGATTTAAATGATTTAATTGGTTTATGGCTTGGCTGAGTCCCCCCACAATTAAATTAATTTAAACGATTTAAACGATTTAAACGATTTAAACGATTTAATTGGGTCCAATTAAATCGTTTAAATCCGACGCCTCAATTAAATAATTTAATTCGACCGTAGGATTTAAACGATTTAATTGGGTCCAATTAAATCGTTTAAATCCGACGCCTCAATTAAATAATTTAATTGGACCGAAGGATTTAAACGATTTAATTGGGCCCAATTAAACCGTTTAAATCGTTTAAATCGTTTAAATTAATTTAATTGTGGTGGGAGGTGAGTACAGACAGGCACAGAGCCAATTAAATTATTTAAATCCGACGCCTCAATTAAATAATTTTATTAGACCGTAGGATTTAAATGATTTAATTGGTTTATGGCTTGGCTGAGTCCCCCCACAATTAAATTAATTTAAACGATTTAAACGATTTAAACGATTTAAACGATTTAATTGGGTCCAATTAAATCGTTTAAATCCGACGCCTCAATTAAATAATTTAATTCGACCGTAGGATTTAAACGATTTAATTGGGTCCAATTAAATCGTTTAAATCCGACGCCTCAATTAAATAATTTAATTGGACCGTAGGATTTAAACGATTTAATTGGGCCCAATTAAATCGTTTAAATCGTTTAAATCGTTTAAATCGTTTAAATTAATTTAATTGTGGTGGGAGGTGAGTACAGACAGGCACAGAGCCAATTAAATTATTTAAATCCGACGCCTCAATTAAATTATTTAATTAGACCGTAGGATTTAAATGATTTAATTGGTTTATGGCTTGGCTGAGTCCCCCCACAATTAAATTAATTTAAACGATTTAAACGATTTAATTGGGTCCAATTAAATCGTTTAAATCCGACGCCTCAATTAAATAATTTAAATAGACCGTAGGATTTAAACGATTTAATTGGGTCCAATTAAATCGTTTAAATCCGACGCCTCAATTAAATAATTTAATTCGACCGTAGGATTTAAACAATTTAATTGGGCCCAAATAAATCGTTTAAATCGTTTAGATCGTTTAAATCGTTTAAATTAATTTAATTGTGGTGGGAGGTGAGTACAGACAGGCACAGAGCCAATTAAAATTTTAAATCCGACGCCTCAATTAAATTATTTAATTAGACCGTAGGATTTAAATGATTTAATTGGTTTATGGCTTGGCTGAGTCCCCCCACAATTAAATTAATTTAAACGATTTAAACGATTTAAACGATTTAAACGATTTAATTGGGTCCAATTAAATCGTTTAAATCCGACGCCTCAATTAAAAAATTTAAATAGACCGTAGGATTTAAACGATTTAATTGGGTCCAATTAAATCGTTTAAATCCGACGCCTCAATTAAATAATTTAATTCGACCGTAGGATTTAAACAATTTAATTGGGCCCAATTAAATCGTTTAAATCCGACGCCTCAATTAAATAATTTAATTGCACCGTAGGATTTAAACGATTTAATTGGACCCAATTAAATCGTTTAAATCGTTTAAATCATTTAAATTAATTTAATTGTGGTGGGAGGTGAGTATAGACAAGCACAGAGCCAATTAAATTATTTAAATCCGACGCCTTACTTATTCAAAAAAATAGGGCGTAGGATTTAAATAATTTAATTAAGCTCTCTCTATTTAAATAGTTTAATTTATTTAAATAAATTAAATTATTTTCTGCTTATTAAAAAAAAGGAATGAGCTAAATAGACCCTAAAGGCTGCTCTTTCATATATATATATATATTCCCTGACAGGGTATATATAGAGTTCGAAACTTACGGTCCACAGCCTAAGCCCTCCTCACCCCTCTTTGAAGGCTCTATCAGGGACGTGGCGGGTTTAGGGTTTAGGGTTTAGGGTTTAGGGTTTAGGGTTTAGGGTTTAGGGTTTAGGGTTTAGGGTTTAGGGGTTAGGGTGTAGGGTTTAGGGTTTAGGGTTTAGGGCTGAGTCTTGAACCCTTTCTAAACGCCTTCCCAAGCCCCTTAGACCCGAATTAACGAACCCCCCACGTTCAGAGAAAGCTCCACCGGGTTGATGCCACAGGCTTCGAGTATGATCTCCGGGAAGTTGCACAGCGCCCTGGTGGGGGACGAGGGGTCTTCGAACAAAAAGGTGGTTTCAATTTTCGGGTTCTGAAGAAACGAGGGTTCCTAAGGATCCCTAGGTACCCCCCCCCGAACCCCCCTAGGCTACCCCCATGAACCCCCTCCCTTAAGAACTCTAGAATTCAGGTGAGGTTCAAGTGTCGAACCTCGTCAGGCTTCTATTTTGAGGGTTGCTTCGTGTCTGTCTGGGGGAAAGGGGGAGTTGTGCAAGAAACATCATGGAAGCCTTAAACGCACCCAACAGCCCAAACACCATAATAAAAAAAAAACATAACAAGCAGATGCCCAGCGGCGTGAAGCTGTTTGGCGTCTGGTTGACCTTTTGGCTCCGGCCAAAACAAGGGGGGATGGAAGGTTGACTTGAATCGTGGGGCTCGTAAACCGAAGTCCCCCACTCTATGCAGTACTCCAGAAAAAGTCTGTTCTTGTGGAGGGGACTCCAAGCCAAACCGCCGCAGGAGTAGAGGTATAAATACACTCGTCGCGAAGACTTCTCTGTAATTCCCCAGGGCTCCTACACCAGCGAAGCTTAAAGACCCTGAGCCGCTGAACCCTGAAGCCCCCACTCGAAACCCTGGCACCCGCAAAGCTCTCTTCCGAGTGGCATTCAGCCTCAGGATCTCCCCCGGCGGCGTGGCCCCAGCGGCGGCGCGGATGGTCGTCATCGGAGAGCGAGCTTCCAGGCCTCCCGCATTTTGGTGTTGGGAGTTCAGGGTTTCGGGTTTCAGGTTACGGGATTAGGGTTACAGGTTTAGGGTTTAGGGTTTAGGGTTTCGGGTTTGGGGTTTACGGTTTGCCCCGGTGGCACGTCTGGGGTTCAGGGAGAAGGTTGGGAATCGGGCTGGCCAAAAAAGCTTGGAGGCTGTCAGGGGAAAGACCCGTCCGGCCTGCGGCCGTGCAGTCGAAGGGCTGATTGAAGCACGGAAGGATGATGACCTGTGAAGCGAGCACATCTTCCCCGGGGGGGGTCCAAAAAAGGTTTCAAGCCTAAAGCTCACGGGCACCCAAAAAGGACCAAGGCGAGCTCATACCCCAACGCCCAGGCACCGTGGTCGTGGTGGTCGTGAAGGGAGGCTCCACCGTGATGCAGTTCAGGCCTCACCGAAGCGCAACAAGCTTGAGCTGCTGTCATGCATCCCGCACAGGGACGTGTTGGCCAGAATGGACGCCGAACGTGCATCACCTCCTATGCACTACCGCAAGAGGGTAGATGCAGCCAATCCCTGTAAAAGTACTGAAGGAATGCCCCTGTTTTTGCAACACTGATCACTCGCTGTCAAGAGGTTCAGTCTTATTGTCGTAAAGAAAAATGATACAACGGTAACCGCATCCGCGAAACTCAGGCTATTAGCCCTTTGCACCCATGAACCCTATACCAACGAGCAAAAAGTCAAGATCCCGGAGGTCGAACACAGGAAGTTGATTCGCCTCTGTGCCGTCCACCCTAAACCCTAAGCCCTAAACCCTAAACAAAACCCAATGAAAGTCTCCCAGATTTTCGAGACGAAACCCTTTGACCTAAACCTCGCGGCCCAAGGGCCATCGTTGGAGATGCCCGTAGAGAAGCTCTCCGACGGGCTCACCAACGTCACTGGGACTTCCTTGGCAAGTTCGGAGAGCGGTTTAGGGTTTAGGGTTTAGGGTTTAGGGTTTAGGGCTTAGGGTTTAGGGTTTAGAGTTCAGGGTTTAGGGAAGCACTTAAACACTTCAGAATTGATTGGAGTACTATTTGGGGTCTTCAGGATTACTAGTCGTATTCACTTATGGTCCCTTCATTATACGTTAAATTACCCCCCAAAACCCCCTATTCTAATCATTCAGGCCCCTTTTTGAGGGGGCAGCGTGGGGCTTTCAGGATTCTGGCTGCCCGGCTCGTGCTGTATCCCCGGCTCGTGCTGTATCAGACGCAAGCGAGCATTCTCCGAGAGGGCGTTGCTTAGAGCCCCTGGCCGGCCTTCGACTCACTTTGGGGCCCCCCAAAAAACCCTAAACTACCTCCAAACCATGCTGTCCCAAACTGTTAAAGCCCTCAACCCTTTCTTCCCCCCACCTTCCCCCCCCCCAACCAAAGTTGGGCAAAAGCTGCGAGGCTGGTCACGTTCACGTCGTCCTCAGCCAAGTGCAGGGCTCAGCGGTTTCAGAGCACAGCTCTGCAGGGGGCAATGGGGGGCATATGGCACCAAGGGCTTGACGGTTCAGGGCCGAAGGGCTTACGGGGGTTTAAGGGGTCAGAGTTCAGGGTTCAGGGTTCAGGGTTCAGGGTTCAGGGCTCAGGGTTCAGGGTTTAGGGTTGAGGGTTGAGGGTTTAGGGTTAGGGTTTAGGTTCTTCATCAGGGTCGCACCTACCAAAACTGAACTCATGGCTCAGGGTTCAGGGTTTAGGGTTGAGGGTTGAGGGTTTAGGGTTAGGGTTTAGGTTCTTCATCAGGGTCGCACCTACCAAAACTGAACTCATGGCGACGCACGGTGATTGCTCTCGGCTTTGCGAAACCAAAGCACGTTCGAGGTTTGTGGGGATTTTTCGGGGCGAAGCCCCCTGCATCTTGACACAAGAAGGATCTGGGGTTCAGGGGTAGGGTCGGTGTAACGGACTTAGAATTTGAAGCTTCAAGGGTCTCAAGGGTCTCAAGGGTCTCAAGGACCGCTGAGAAGGGCTCTCAGAGCGAACCGAGTTTCCACCAGAATCTGGTACACACCGTCTCCGTTGTTATAGGCACCTGACTCGAGATCAGGGGGGGGGGGGGAGAGGGGTCCTCCAATCAGGCGTCCCTTTTGGAGGGATCCCCCCAAAATCCCGACCATCTAACTTTCAGTAGCCCTTTGAGAGCCTTGCAGTAGGATCCTTGTTGTGTCAGTACGAGGGGCGGATTTCCGTTTCGGAGCCTTTCACAAAAAAGGCACTGATCGAGTCTGAACCCTAGGAGAGAGAAAGAGAAAGAGAGAGAGAGAGACAGAGAGAGAGAGAGCGAGAGAGAGATAGACAAGACAAAAAGATCCAGAACACCGTGGCTCTTAAAAGGACCCCTAGACCCTAAACCCCAAACCCGAAACCCAAAACTCTGAAAAGGACAAGGGGGCAGTAGATGAACCCATCGAAGTCCCACTGCGCGCCAGCTTCGCCGGATGGGCTGGGCGCGTTTGTGGGCTGCATCCTGGCAGAACGAGAGATCCGGGTTCGGGGTTTACGGTTTAAGGGTTTAGGGTTTAGGGTTCATCGGGGTTTACATTGGTTTACGGAGTTAAAAAGGGGCTTCCAGGGGCTTTTTGAGGTTTGTAGGGGTTAACCGGGGTTTCTCGGGGTTTAGAGGGCTTTATAGGGGTTTATAGGGTTATAGGGGTGATGGGGGCTTGCAGGTGTTCAGGGTTGTGCTCATGGGGGGGCTGGGAGATAAGCCTCTGGCCTAGAAGAAGCTCCCAAAACGAAGCCCTCCTGTTTTCCATACGGCTTGCGGTTTGGATTTCGCAGGCTTCGCACTGGGGTGCATGGGCCCTTGGTGGCCCCCAAGCGCCAACGAGCCAACGAGCCAAGGAGCGTGACGCTGTAGAAGAACTGCGGGTTGTCCAGGCTCTGGAGCAAGACCTGCTTCCGGAACAGCCAAGCTGAACAAATAAAACTCCAGCTGAAGTCCTACATAGGCATCGTGTGCTATCAAAAAAGAGCTAGAATGAGAAGGAGGAGGAAAAAGGGAAGAAGAAAGGCACGAAGAGGAAGAAGAAGAAGAAGAAGAACAAGCACAAAAGAACAGTGAGAATGACACTAGTGATCGTAGTAGTAGCTGTCGGAAGCTTCACGCTGCGCTGCAACGAGCCAGCCTTGTCGCCCTCGCAAGAGATGAGCCAGAAGTCGTCTTGGCCTCCAATGTCTGCCCTGGTCACGTGGCAGCTCACCAAAGGCCCGCGATCAAAAAGAAGCCAACAACAAACATGACCATCTGTTTAGGGTTTAGGGTTTAGGGTTTAGGGTGTAGGGTGTAGGGTTTAGGGTTTAGGGTTTAGGGTTTAGGGTTTAGGGTGTCGGGTTCAGCGTGAGGTTACCCAAGACCCTAGGCCTAGGCATGCAACATCCTGGGATCCTGGCAATCCCCAACCCTGACACATGCGAAGTGGGCATCAACTCGCAGTTCAAACATTGGGGCCTCGGCTTCCGTTCGGACTCAAGGTGAAGGGCCCCGTCGCCCAGGCCCCGCGGAACTCCAAACATTATCAGTAGCCACATAAAAGCCTTGCGAGACAAGCAGGCTGCCTCCGCACGGTGAGGTCGGCGGCCGTCTGCAAGGGGGGGGCTTTGGATGCTGAGTAGGGTTCGGCCCCAACCTAGGCCCTCAGAATAAGGATCTAAGTTTCCGGACTGTACGTGCTTTGCCAAAGCGCCCCCCAGCTCCTGAAGAGACCCTGGTAAACTGTAACTTAAGTAACAATGTTATTCCCCCCATGATGCATGTATGATAATTTGGAGATTCAAAGCAATCAAAACGGTGGTGAGCTGTAGCCATTCCAAGCAACAATGGCATGATTGGGAGCAAGGGGGGCACCCCTTAAGACCTGTTTCCTGCAAACAAGTGCTTTAAAAGATGGTGAGAAAAAACAGCCAACAAAGAACCAACCACAAGAACAAAAGAAATTATACTTAGGAGCAGTCCTGCAACGCCGGCTCCCTCGTGATGTTCAGCGTCAGTAGGCCTCGGTTGCCAAGGATGACGAGGTAAGCTCCCGAGCTCCCCCTGAACCCTGCGCGTTTCTTATTTAGGAGCTTTTCGGGACCAGGGCCTGGGGAGGCAGAACCTATTAGAAAATTGGGGGTTGCGGCTTTTTGGGCAAATCGAGGAGGTCGGCCCCTGGCCTCTCAGCCAAAAACCCCCACCTCCCCAACCGACCTCCCACCTCCCACCACTCCCACCACTCCCAGCGTACTAGAGCATCTGCTTGCCCGAATTCACGGAGCGTACTCAACTAGCATCCCCGGTTTTTCCTCCAAGTAGTGTGCCAACACTATGGGGTTCCCGTGTCAAGGGTGAGGGGGTGTAGATCGGCGCGCTGCTGCGCCGTTGGCCCCACGACTGCCTGCATTTTTGGACCAACAGCAGAACTGTCGTCGCTTGGACCTACGCTGCAACAAGAGGGGCAGAACTCCTAAACTGTTCAGGGGTCCCCAGAATAGTGCCTTGAATGGGCTCATCCGAATCCCCCGAAAACCCCGAAAAAGCTTGAGAGCCATCCCCTCGTCTGCCAAGCGGCTGAGGTCGATGCCTGCGGCCTCCGAAGCCTTTGCCGGGTTTTTTGGTGTGTGTGTGTGGGTATATGGGACTCAATGGACTCATATACGGTTTATGGGGCTCATGTACGGTTGCGTATCTGTCGATGTTTATCGTGGAGCTCGCGTGTTTGCTTTTTGACAGAAGCTGGCACTTTCACTCCATATCCCGTGACAGCCCAGCAATTTCACGCATGGCTACCCATCAGTACAGGCTCTTATTCACGAAGCCATTCGCGTCTTAGATCCGCCCCTGCTCTTGCTAAGCAGTGTTTGACTTCTTTGCTGCCCGCTCAAGCTGATCTTCAAGATTTTTGCGGGCTCTGTTGCAATCTTTCACATGTGCGTGTTGGGATCCGCAAACCTCTTGCAGCTGCTGGATGACCATGACCATGTAGCTCACCACATTCGATCATATTTTGCGACCGCGCGGGTCTGTGGGCTTGTGAATAAATCACAAAGAGGAGCACACCTGTTTTTGCTCTTTCTTGCACCTCCACTTGAACGAGTTCTGGCATCCACTCATCCGCTTGCGGTTTGAAATGCTTCACGTGGTCCTCATCCATTTAAGTCTTGGGCTTCGAACAAACCACTCTTGTTTGAAGGTTCCGGGTTCGCAAGTAGGGTGGGAAGGGCTCATTATGACTCAGAAGCTTCTGACATGCAGATGCCTTGAAGGGGAGCTCCGACATAAACGACTCATGCCTGATTTGCGACGCCTCTGCCCTCCAACCCTGAAGCCCTCATGCCGAAGATCGGTGGCGAAGCCGTCGAGATTCTGCAAACCTGCGGGCAAATCCCCCCCCCCCCCCCAAGCTGCACAGAAAGAGGCTCTGGGCTCCCTAAATCCTCAGGTCTGGGGCGCCTGGGCATGTGGGCCCGTTGAGTGGATAGGAGGCCGGGGAGCAGCAAGAGGCTTAAAGAAGGCCCAGTGGCCCAGTGGACTCTAGAAGCGAGACCACGCAATCCTGGTGTCAAAGCTTCGCTGTCCCTTCAAGAATCTGGGCTTTGGGGCCAAGGGCAACGCGGCTCCGGAGCATGATTCCCAACACTGGACCCGCCTGCTTGGGTGCGAACCTCTGAGTCCACAAACGCCACAAACACGAAGTCCCCGTTTCCTTTGGGAAGCTTCGCGGTTTGATGGCTTCGAGGCTTTCTTCTCGTTAAGCCTCTGAAACAAGGTTCAGGCACATGTCACATGTCAAGGCTCAGGCAGAAGCTGCAGTCAACCCACGTCTAAGCGTGCAAGGCTTGCCTAATGCTAGGGAGCCCTGAGACCCAGGGCCTAGGGGTTTCAGGGCTTTGGCATGGAAGAAGGGCAGGACTGCACGACCCCAAAACATTAAACCAGACCGAGCTGCCTTGGTGGAGGAAGCCTGCCCTGCAAAATACACAATTCCGAAAGGCAGCGAAGGCCCTCAGACCTCAAGCCTCTCAACCCAGTCATTGGGGCCTCGGGAGTACTCAGATCCCGCACAACGCTTGTTACCCAGAGTCCTACACCCCCCTTTTTTCCCCTGACACTTGTTGCCCAGAAGCTCCGGACGACGCTTGCTATAGCACCCGCAATTGTCCCCACCCCTCCCCCCCCGCCCCGATGCTTGCCCAAGCCTTCCTCGCTCTGAAGTACATCTTCAACTGCAGACTACTCGCACCGTAGGGTCTTGAGGCTTTGTTGGCTTGTCCGCTCGGATGTCCGAAGAGGAGGGGGCAGGCAAGGCTGCGATCCTGCAACACCTCAAGCTTTAGTGGGGGTTTACCCCCCCCCCCCCCTGAAACATTCAGAATCACCCCCGTCGGACGCTTGTCAACCAGAATCACCCCTTCCTGATGTGCGCACGGGACGGTCCAGGGCTCAGCCAGGTGGCGAGGGCTGAAACCAGCAGACACCGACGTGAACTGCGTCCCGAGGTAGCAGAAAGAGCCGGGATCTTGGGAAGCGAAATCGGGGGCCCTAGAGTTTGATGGATGTTAGCTCTAAGCTTACTCTGCGACAGCTTGAACCCTAAACCATAAACCCGAAATCCTAAACTTGTGCCCTCTGATCCCTTATACCAAAGCGCGCGCTTTCCTTCATGCAGAGCCTTGCATAACCACCCCAGACAAACACGACCCGAAAACTAGGTTTTTTGCCCAATCCTTACACAAAGCCTTTAAAGGACATCCGCAAACCCTTAAACCCTTAAACCCTTTAACCCTCAAACCCTTAAACCCTTCAAACCAGCACTGGAACCAAAGAGCACCCTGAACTCTCTGAACCCTAAACCCTAAACCCTAAACCCTAAACCCTAAACCCTAAACTCTAAACCCTAAACCCTAAACCCTAAACCCTAAACCCTAAACCCTAAACCCTAAACCCTAAACCCTAAACCTAAACCCTAAACCTAAACCCTAGCCCTAAACCTAAACCCTAAACACCCTGAACCCCAAAGCCTGAACCTCCCCGAGAGGTGCCTCCATTCGTCGGGCAGGTCATCCGGACGAGGTAGCCTCGAAGAAGGAGTGATGGGGGAGGGGGGGGGGGGGGTTGTTGTGGTTTTAGGGTTTAGGGTTTAGGGTTTAGGGTTTAGGGTTTAGGGCTTTCGGGTCTAGGGTTCAGGTTTAGGGTTTAGAGCTTGGCGTTTTGGGGTTTAGGGCATCCTTCCGTTGCATCAAGGGGGGCTCCAACCCTCAGATTCGTGTAGGGCACGGTGTCGGGTACCTAAGGTTTAGCTTGGATAGGAGAGGCTCACAGAGCTGCGGAGGCCCCAGCAAGCTCCATGTCAAACCAAACCTCCTCAGCCCCCCAAAACCCAAAAACAACACAAAAAAACATGAGTGCTGAAACTGAACCTTAACCTCCAAACCCTCGACCCGAAACCTTAAACCCTAACCCTCACAAACCCGAAACCCCGAACCCCTAAACTGCTCATAGAAGCGACCCTCAGCCCTCGGCCCCCTGCACCGCCACGCTGGAGGCCATATGGGCAGCCGGGCGCGCGGAGTTCCCTCGAGCTCGCAGTAGATCCTCAAAAGGCTCACAATGCAGGGCTCTGGCGGCTCTTCGGGGGGCTCCTTTTGGGGGATTTGGGCTGTAGGGATTTAGGGCTGTAGGTTTTCGGGTCAAGGGTTGTAGGGGTTTAGGGTTTAGGGTTTGAGGGTTGTAGGGGTTTGGGGTTGTAGGTTACAGTTCAGGACTTCGGGGCGAAGCTGCCATAGGGGGTTTGGAACCTTGGCTGAGGTGGACGTTCTGGATTGAGACGTTCATTGGGGAAGCAAGAGCGCAAAACCTTACGGAGCTGTCAAGTCCAAAGCCCCCTGCGCCCCCCCCCCCCCCCTGCTTTCTCTTCAAACAAGCGCTCCCTGACCGCCGCCGAACCTTCAACCAAGATCAGAAAGCGCTGAACAGCCCTCCCCCCCCCCCACCACATGCCCCTACCCCAGGCCTCCCCCCGCCCCTAGAAGCTTCCCCAGAACTGGACAGGACACATCGAGTCGAGGGGGCTAATGCCACAGGCGTTGAAGCAGTCCGCAAAGGTGCAGAGGGTCCTGGGTCTGCAGTGCAGGAAACTTAAGACCCTAGGAACCCGCGAGGCGTTGCCTTAGTAGCAAGCCGCGGTTCCCTTCAACACCACTGTGAACCTATATCATGGCTTACAAGAAGGTATGTAGTTAGGTTTGGGCTCTTTGGGTAACAATGCTTCACACTCCGCTCAAGCACTAGCGGCCACTAGCGCGACAAAGCTTTCATGGGCAGCCAACATAAACAAGTAACCGAGAAAAGAAACAAGCGAGTTCATTTAAGAGCTGAAGTGACAGGGGTTCTGTTTGGTAGTGGTTCAGGGATGTTCAGGGTTTAGGCTTCGGCTTGAAATTCATAAACCTTGGATCAAAAGTGCA